TGTGCTTTAAAACAGAACCGTCACAGTAAAATCAGCCTCATTTGTGGCAAACAGGAAAATGATGTTTGCTCAGGAACAGTTATGTAACTAACTTGACTATGAAATGAAATTCCTCAAAATCAACAGTTAAACAAGCAGTTTGGAACAGTTTTCTCAAACACGCAGCAGAATTCAATCAAACTGAAAGCCTGCCGAGATTCTCTGAAAGAAACCCAACGGTGGCTTAAAGAGAACATCCAGGAGGGAAACTCTGAGCGATGCACGTGAGCGTGTGCACGTCTGCTGAGTCAAGGCTCATCTGCAAGCTGACGCTAACGAAGCCTGATAAGCCAACACCTTTAAATCACCTCAAACACAACGTGGTCAACGAACAAACGGCGGGAATAAAAGGAGGAGACGCGGTGACAGCAGTGAAGCATGTTGGGTGAATTACGAGGCTGAGTGTGTGTCAGCTCAGCGTTTACTGTAAAGCGAGCGCAAAACGTCAGATGTGTGAGTTTAGCTAATGCTCGGTAGTTATAAATTGGTGGAAGGAATGTGTCACAGTGCCGTCAGCTGCCTCCTGACTAAGGAGATTACAGCAATACGATTAATGGACAGCAAGTCAACATGCAGCTCTGTTAGAGCGCCAGCAGGTGGCACCAAATCTCAGTTAGTGAGCTTCTGCTTTGGATTTTTTACTTTTAAAACCATTCATGGATTTCACCAGTCAGTTCAACGATGAAATGCATTTGGTAGTGATGTGTTTAGGTAAGTGTATTAATAATGAGAGCAAAACTAAAGCTAGTATTTAAAGTTTGCAGTGAAATTAACGCTTACTGAAGGCCCACGAGCATGTCTCTTACTGAGCTGTGCTTTTTTTTTTTTACCCGTTATTTATTAAGTTATGAGCACGGTCAGCACTGTTGAAACCTCGAACCACATAGTTTCTTGTCATCCTGACTTTTTATCGTTAGTTATGAGCAGATCTGATCCTCACTTCCTGTCTTGGGTAATCATCATGAGGATTCATTCACTTTCAGGGAAGCTCGTCACTTATTCTGCTTCACATTTTGCATCAACAACAGCAGTTGGTCATTAGATCAAAAATAAGAAAGCGTATTATTTAATTACATGCTGCTATAAAGAGAAAGTCTGATGATACAAATCATAAACAGCACTGTTATGTTTTGGCTTTTTCACTCTCGATTCTGATTAAATAAAGACGCCAGCAGAGCTGTGAATGCAGCAGAACCAAACTGTGTTCAAACCAGATCAGACTCAAAGTCAGGATGCATGCACGTGACTCCGTTTCTGACTAGCATCTCAGGTCCTTTCCAATTCATAAATGTTTGTTTCTCATTTACATTGACACACACACAGTTAAAACTCTCTTGTGCCTGATGTACTCGGACATTCACGGCGAGGCAGCGACTGCAGGCCGGACCAGCTGCTTCTATCTGGCCTTCATCTCCTGCTCTCTTTCTTTTCATCTCCCCTCTCGTGCACACACACACACACAAAGTATTGTGACTCACTGGCTGCACAACAAACATAAAGGACGCTAACGCTGTAAAGCCCAAGTTAAATGTCCGACAGCGTAGATTGTATTATCATGAATTGACATCAAATTAGTGGCTTGCCGGCTAATAAGATTATGAGGAACAAAGCGCTGTGTGAGGTCTGCAGCACACACACACACACACACACACACACACATTAGGCCTGATTCTGTAATATGATGCTCACTGTACACAGACGCCGGCATGCAGAGGCACGCACTTACATCGGCTGGATTCACACTGACGTACGGCGTTGGGAATTAACTCAGCTTAGTGGCCGCCAGTGTACTTCTAAAATAAGTTGCAACCTTTTGGTGACAAAACATCAACCTGCGGTTTGGTGCAGGCTGCCAAGAAAACTGAAGGAGTACGAGAGCGAGGATTAATAGCCCGTCTTACAACTGTGCAAACAAAATGACGACGCCAGTGACGGAGGCCTGCGTGCACAGACAGACAGAGATGCGTCATCGCTGATCTCACAGATAGTAACCATCTGCCAAAGTCTGGCTTTTAGGTTCTCCTTAAATCCCTCCACCGTCCACGGCACCTCATCATTCACAGCGTCGGGGAGAAGAGAGGCATGATGGCGTTGTGGGCGTGGAGAGGAGTCGACTGTGGGAACGAAGTCGCTCCGGATGCAAGCGGGCTGCTTCCAGGCCAGCGCTGGAGCATATGTGTCGCCTCTTGTCAACAAAAGCTGTTTTGGTAGCTTGGCCCTAATATGCATAATGCCGGAGCACCAAAACAACCCCCCACTAAACAACAACACTCCCCTGACGTCGCCCTGAAAACACACCCGGCCTCAGCAATCCCTTCTTTGATCCCTTAATGCTGGATAAGAGGGGAAAGGAGGGTGAAAAATGTCAAATATCACGACAGACGGTCAACGAGCGACACGGCGTGAACTACACGGACATTAACTTAGATATTATTCCCACATCTAAAACACAGCAATTCACCAAACTGCAGCAGAAACCCACTAATCCTCACATGCTCCACAGAAGAATCTGGACTGGATGTGTTTTAAGGATAAAATGGTGTTTGAAGGGAGTTTGTCATCACATGACTGAGTTTGTTTTCTAATTTCCTCTGTTCTCGTCACCCTTCTCTGACCCTCTATCCTCTGTTTCTCGCTGGTGTAGACGATGTGCAGCTCGTCAGGTTGTGTGTGTGTGTGTGTGTGTGTGTGTCGAGACTTGAAAACCGCTGTATTCAGCACAAAGCTGCAGCTGTAGACATGAGACCGATCTGATTCAGCCCCCAGCGACCAGGACAGCTGCAGCGTCCGCAGACTTTAACTCCGCTGAACTCGCACACGGAGAACATTCACCACATTTAAACTGTTGCACGGATCGTCCATCAATCTTTATCTTATGCTCACTTATGCTCTAAAGGGTCACGGAGGGCTGGAAGTAGCAGCGCTAGTAGTCCGATGTTAGCACAACTTTATGAAAAGAAAAGAATTAAAGCTTAAGAAAGCCATAAAATACAGAAGTACAGACTTCAGAAGAGTTTTTGACGGTGCAGCAGACACTTTGTGGTTCATGTGTAGGCCACTATTAAAAATCTATAACAATCATTACTGTACATTTAATATTACACAAGTCATTTTTGTTTTTTTAAAAACAATATTTGAGGTTTTTGGGGGCAATAACAATAAATATTTTGTAGATTAAACAACCTGATAGTTATATATTGGCCAATATTTAACTTTTTAAGCATGAAAAAGGAGCACAGTCCTGATGCAGATCCCTTTGAGGTGCTTTTTGGTGAGTAAACTATATAATGAGGATATCGTCTCTATAGTAAATTACCTCAAATAAGCATTTACTGTAATTGCACAAATGTAAAACTTGGTTTGCAGCCAAAGCTACTTGCAATTTCCTGACACTACAAACACACTAATACAGTCACACACTGTATCCGCAGTTGATCATATACGCTCACTGGTCACTTTATCTGCTAATGCATTGCCATAAACTTTATTGTTAAGAAGCTTCTATGTTTTTTGTTGATGACTGTGCTTTCTATTTATTACTGCAGTTATAAAGGCCTCCTCATAAGTGCAGTCCAATGCATCGCCACCACCTACTATGGCTTCAATAATAAAGTTAAACGAGCAGAATCATCCCCTTATTGATGTCAAGAAACGCCAAAACTGTAGTAGATTCATAAAAACAGAATATATTGCAGAGTTGTTGCGTTTGATTACATTAAAGTTCATAGGTGTTCCTAATAAAGTGGCCGCTAAGCGCATATGTCATATTACATACATTTACGGGGCTCTATTTTCAGTGATTTTGCACACATTCTTCCAATACTAGCAACAAGCAAATGGAAAAAAGAAAAGAAAAAAAAGCAACAGAGAGGCTTTATATTCACCTGATGGTATAACTGGTGAACTGGAGTCCACAGATAGTGGCAGCGAAATGGCCGGCCTCGTCCAAATCAAAAGAACAGCTCGGCCCTGTCAGTGCATCACAGTGCTTGGTGTGGGGGTTTTGCGGAAGAGGTGGGAGGCTATAAAATGTCATACTTTGCCTGTCACCAAGCTCGTTCTGCAGCACTTCATCAATGACCTCATGGTTCTCTATTCAATAACTCAGCACACACACACACACAGGGACCGGCCTTGTGTGTGGGTGAGAAGTGCAGTGTGCGGCGTTCATGGGCATGTGGTGGCCGAGGAGGGTGCTGGTGACATACGAGTGTAAAAGAGCGAGCGCTGTGTGACAGATGAATGGGCACTCAGGGAGATCTACGGTACGGAATTATGTTTACACGATCCAACGGGCCGTTTTTTTTTTTTCAGCAGACATCTGACTTGTCATCGTAGGAAAAGCACAGGTGTTACTAACAACAATGGCCGTGTTGTAGTTGAGCGTCCCGGTGAGCTATGGCAGCGTGACGATGAGCCAACATGCACTAAAGCAGCTAAATGAAATTTGGCCATCGTTAACTTTAATATTCGCACCTGTCCTCTCCTGCTCCGACACGTCACAGTGTCTGCTGTACAACAGACTTATCCTGGGGGATTTTAACTGAATTAAACACTGAAAATAACTCATGATTTCCTTGCCTTCCACTTGGTAAGGTGCTGGTAGTTGATTACATTACTATTTATTTGCAGACGACATGCTAAATGAGGAATAGAAGAGCAGAAAACAGCTGCTCAGATTAACTAAAATGACAACGACGCAATAAAAGTGCACAAAATCTACTAAACACTCGCCCGAGCCGCTGCCACAGCAGATGGATGTTTACGAGGACGAGGATTATTACTAAATTAATTTGCGCACAGTGAGAACTACGCCTACCTCAGAAACCACAACAACAAAGCCGTAGATCATCTCGCGCCGTTTAATTTCCTCTGACAGGATTCATAAAACCTGCTGAAATCGCTGCCCCCTGTTTATCTGTTTGTCTTATTGGGCTGATCGGGGAGGGAAAGAGATCTACCTCTTCGTCATCGCTGGGCAGGCGTTGGTAGTCACATTCTGACGTCTCCTGCAGTCTCTGGTATTCTGCCGTCTCCCCCATTGCGGAGCTGCAACACCCGGCCAGTACCTGCCCCGGGGCTACGTGTCCTCAGAGTCCTCGCTGCTCCAGTCCCAAAGCAACCCACGCACTCAGTCAGTCAGTCAGTCAGTCAGTCAGTCAGTCAGTCAGTCGGTCAGTGAGCTCGCTCCAGGGTCCACGCTGTCATGAGGGAGATGAGTGCTGTATTCTCCACAGAACAGTGCTGCATTATCTCACACAGCTCGCCACAATATGTCTGATAATTCAGCTGACTACGCTGGTGCTCTCTGGCGTCCACCTTCGCTGTCTTCGTCATTCGGGTTGAGTCAGCACTCGCTGCGAACGGCCGGACAAAGAGTTCCACATTGTCAAAACACAGGTGCTAATGGAAACAGGTTCTCAGAAATGAATTCCTCTGGCAAGCTGCGGACGTCGATTCTCGGTGCAGAACGAATGTAGTCTCAGTTCTTGCATTGTTGTGTGCAGGCGGGAACTGTCCCTCTTCAAGGAGGAAATACCCAGAAAGAAAATCCACCTGTACGGAAGCACAGTTTGTCCTCTCAGGGTGTTGGAGGCTTCAGTCTTCAAGAAGCATCCGGGGTGTGATCGATCCAGAGTAATTCACTGTTCAATAGACCTTCTGTTGGTCCTCAGAGCTGCTGCAGCCGAGGAGGAGGAGGAGGAGGATGCAGCCGAGGTGTGGCACAGAAGGTGACAAATCCGGCAGGGCTTTATTTGTGTTGTCCCATCAACCTCTAGCCTCTCTCCCGCTCTGCCTCTCTCATCTCTGCTGCCACCGTCGCTCTCTCTCTCTCTCTGACTCTCCAGCCTTAGTGCTGACGCATGCTCTTCATATCCAGCGATGCTCCTCTCTCTCTCTCCCTCCCTCTCTCTCTCTCTCTCTCTACGCCCCAGGCATCACTCCGGCCAGCTCACCTCGTCTCGCTCATCGACAGGAGTGAAATATCACAGCCATCGTTCCTCCTTTTTCTTCTCTCCCACCTGTTTTATTTCGTTCCTCCTTTGTGTGCTTCCATTTTTCTCTCCCACCCATAGATCTCCAGCGGCCGTCCAATCGGACTGGCAGCTCTGCTCTGATGATGACGACTGAGGTCTGGGGAGGATTTTTTTTTATCACCGCTTTGTCCTAAATGGACTTCCTGATTGCTCGGTCGATGCCTAATCCCTTGCTGTTGTTGTTATTGTTTCCCCCTCCTCTCTTCCTCTCCCCTCTAACCTGCTTTCCGCACATCACCCCCCCTTCACTTGTTTTTTTTTTTTTTTTTTCCATTTCAGCCCCAGCAGCTCGATGATTTGGCGAGTGGTCGCCTCCTCTATTACCGTGGCAACATCAACCCATCCCACCTCCTCCTCCCCGCTCCCGTGTCCTGTAGCCGCTGCGATCCAGTCAGCGGTGGTCCTGATAGAAGCAGCCAATGACGGCGAGGCAGGCCGGGGGGGGGGAGATGAGAGCGGGAGGCGGGGGAGCCCTAATGAGGAGAGTTAATCTCCCCTCTGAGAGAGAGAAAAACATGGCCATGCTGCTTTGTGTGTGTGTGTGTGTGTGTGTGTGTGTGTGTGTGTGTGTGTATCTGCGTGCATCAAAAGCACCTCTTCACTATGGGGAGGCTATCCAGGCCATCTGGATGCTTGCTGAGTGGACATCTGGATGGAGGGAAAATAGAATAAAAGAACAATGTGTGCGCATGCTTGTGTGTGTCTCTCTGTGTGTGTGTGTGTGTGTGTGTGTGTGTGTGTGTGTGGGTGTGTGTGTGCGTGTGACACAACCTCCTGGTCTTTCCCAAGTTGTGGTGCGACTCGACCCACTGCAGCTCCAGCACCGCCGCCGTTGCCGCCGCCGAGCAAATCTTTCACAGACACAAACGACACAAGCGCACAGTTCTTGTTTACTCGAGCATCTTCTTCTCCTCCCCTCAGCCCGTGTCACGCTTTATTCCATCCTCCCTCCCGTCCGAACCACTTGGCCTCTTTTGTTTTCGTCTCATTTCTGCCTCTCCGAGTCCACTCCAGTCCCGTCCATGTCCTCGGGCCGGTTATTCGCGGCTCAATGAACAACATTCAGTTATTATTTTCTTTGCTCTCGTTCCTCCACTGAAGCTGTCACGATTGCAAATGACGTGCAAAAAAAAAACCACACACAAAATGCCTGCACGCTCCAAACAAACACACGTGCACACAAACACAACACACAGCTACACAGAGTGTGCGTTTAACACTATGAGCGGCTATTTTCCAATTCCAATCAAACCCCCACTGAGACAAACCAGTGAAATCTTACAGGTTGCCTCTCGTGTTCCCTCTCTGTTATTGGATAGGGCTTTGTCTGCTTGTCTCTGGGGTGTTTCATTGTTCCTCTCTCTCCAACAGAAACCTAAATCAGTGATCTTATCGATGTCGCCACTGAAGAATCCAACATCGAGTGCAAATTTCACAGACTTGTAATCGCATAATCACCAACCTCTGTACTGTCAAATGATTCTTTTGTTCAAGCCTCCATGTTTAAATTATGAGAGACTGAACTGAATGGAGTTATCTGGAAATACCTTCATTCCCATGCTTCAGCTACACGTCCATTGCAATTACAGTCGTGACTCGACAACCCGACGCTAAATGTAAAACCTTCTTTTATGTCGGATAGCAAGGCTGTAGGATTGTCAAGACGGAGGTCGAGATACAAGGAGGGCTTGATGCTGGAAGGCTCATTAGTTGTTAATATTTATTGTTCACAGTTGTTATAATAACTAGTAGAGCTGGTCCCAATAGCACTTTCTGGTCTCTGGATATTCAGGCCCAATTAATGATGAATATCAGAATATTCGGCACGGTCGGGAGACACTTCCACCCCGGGGGAGCGCCCTGATGGGGTGGAAGTGGCCGTAACGCACAGGCAGTACTTGGCTGCTGATGCTAGTTTAGTTAGCGCTCACACTTCTGTTTCCACCATCGGTGGCAGATACGCTTCACCGTTACCATCCATGTTTACTTCCATAAACACTGAGCACGCTCACTGCGTGTGACGTCGTCGTGTCCTCTTCTGCGCATGCGGGACACTTTTGGGTCGTATGAAGTTCACACAGCAGATCACATACAAGTCGCATTTAACTGGAAATGTGAAGGAACTCACAAAGAAATCCGAATTGAGCATCAAGTCCTGCAGTGTGAACGTAGCCAATCTGTGGGATTGTTCAGTCAGATAATACGCCGTTATCCTGATTGGTGACATAAAATGTCATGTCGGAGTCAGAATCCAAGGCTGTCGCTATGTTAAGGCTGTTTTTTGTGGGTTCGGTTTTTCTTAAAAACCTGTCGGACATCAAGGTTTTCAGATTGTTAAGGGTCAGATTATCGAGTCACAACTGTATTTAATTACTGCTTCTGGGACTTGACAGTCACATGTTCCAGCATGGAGCGGTTATGTGACATATTGCAAATGCATCTGATCAATATACGTCCACAAACACGGCCACGAACCACGTAGCACTCCCTCCATTCATGTCGGACGTTATTCTAAATAACGGCTCGATAAAAGATGACCTGAGTCAGCAGCATACACAACCAAGTATTAAATAGAAAGTGTACAAGACAGCAGAGAGGATGAGCAGCGGGGGAGAGGCAGGAAGGCAGAAGGGACTCGCTGGTCAATTGAGGCCATGATAAATGGAGCAGTGCTGAGCTGTGGAGTTATGTGGGGTCACTGCTGTCCACCGACTCCCCCTGATGAAGTTAACACACTCCATTACCGGATGGAGGGTACGGCCGGACAGTATCAAAGTAATTACCTGCTCGCTGCATTTTGTCAGTGCAATAAAAACTTTAAAAGGCTATTAAAGGAAGACAATAGAAAAAAGAAAACTCCTAAATGTGTGGACGGCAGAAGTCACAGTGAGACCACTTCTCCATAGAGAGGTCACACAGGACGCCTCTCAGTAAGTAAATGTGCTGTTTATTCGTCAGCACGTATCACAAACAGGAAAGTCTCCTTATTTTCATTACGCGCCACATGTCAAACCCTGTTCCAGAAACCTGGAAAACCCCTTTAATATCCAGATTCCTCAACCTTTGACCCTCGTAGCTTCATTTGTCAGCCATCTTGTGTCAGGGGGAAGTTAAAGCGCAGCCTGTTAAAACATGTAAACGCCTTCTTTGTCCCCGTGATGGAGAGCAAGGAGAGGCGCAGCAGACAGGCTGTGGGTGTAATGATGGAGTGTTCCCAGCCCGAACATCACAGGCTGCGTAAAATCTACCTTTAAGAGACGGCTTAGAGTCCTGAAAGACTAAGAGGACTGACTCCTGGGTCCCTCCTGTCTCTTTACGACTGTTGGTGGGTAGACCACAGGCTCTGGGGGCCGCGGTAAGCTTTTCAGCAGGAGTTGGATGAAATCCCTGATGTCTACTACTGATGTGGGGCTCGTAGGGTGGAAATTCAATCAGGGTAGTAACTGGACGGTGCCTATGGCGCGCTGCATCTATATGAGCGTGTTATTCTGTGGAAAGTATTACATTTTCTTTGGATCTTTATCGTATACGTTTCCGGCATCGAACAGCTGCGCAAGAAACTGTCATAAATTTTCTCGTTTTAAAGTGACTACGACTGTGGGGAAAAAAACTGATTTTATCATCAGCTGATCTGCTCAAATGTTTTCAAATTCACCATTTAAGCTTCTTTTTTTTCTTTAAATAATGACAAATGCTCACTTAGAGAAGCCTTAGCTGACAGCTCCAGATTTATTCTGTGTCCTTAAAAACAACCCTGTGTTCATTATTCAGGACGTTTTCGTTGACGATTATTTGGCGCACCAATACCTGCAATTTAATCGTCCTTTTCTGTTCATTTTATGCCTTTTTTAGCTTTAGATTAGCGTTATTAGCCCCTTTGAGCGCCACCGTTCTGCTGCAAATTGAATAAATGACCTTCTTTTAGTTTCTTTTCGGTGCTCACATCAGTGTTGTGGTGCTCCACTTTGCTACTAAACCCGTGAATGTCAATAAAAGCTCATTGAGACACAGTCAAATGTTAGAAGTTTAGACCGATAGGCACAAACAGAGGCACAAATGATGATCAAACTATGTGACAATAGGAACTGAAACGTGACATCTCTGTTAGTCTGATCCAGCTGTTTTTATACAGGTGAATGTAAACGGAAATGTAAAATGATTTGCTCAGATAATTACCATCAGGTTATGATGTCATCATGGTAACAGACCATAATTATCTGTTCAAATTTTATAGACAACATGATTTACTAAAATTCTAAATATCAATCAGCTGCCATCCAGATGTTGGCATAATTAAACTGGTATTTCCTTAATCCAAAGTAAATAAATTAAGAAATCACTAGGATATCCTGTGTATAAAAGAAACTAAAGATTTAAACTTTACTTGTCAGAAAAAAACACACACTGGTCTATCCACTAACCACGACTAATTAGAACTACTCCTCTGTAAATTTGGTGACCAAGCAAGAGCCTGATCAAAAAAAAGAAATGATAGAATTGAAACTGATTATTTGGACAAAGAAGTGATTGACAAACTGTGCATTTATCAAATCAATCTAAGTACATTTTTGTGCAATAATAACTTCATAATAACGTAATAATCTTCAGTGTGACATTTGTGTTTGTGCTTTTCTCATATTTAGTTTTTAAATCACTGGTCGGACGAAACAGGATTTAAAATTTTAGGAGACTGTGAGGGAGTCTTTTCACATTATTAAATTAAAAGTCAAGCTTGTTATTAAGTGAGAGGCAGCAAGAATTTTCCGAGGCTGAATTAAAAGTTGTTTTCTCAAACTTGAAAAGCTCCCAGTACGCCCTGTAACTGATTAATGACATTCCTGGGTTACAGCAGTGACAGTTACGATTAATTCTGAGGACGATTCACAACATATTCAGTTAAAGACAGAAGCCAGATCCCGTCACGCTGACCCACGTTTGAAAGATTTCTACTTGAAACAGAACCTGTCAGACAAACAGAAAGCCTCGCCAACCCGCCACCTCGTTTTGCCAAATAATGTTTTTTCAGGTAAAACGAAAACTAACTACTCTGGTAATATTCTACTAATAAAACATCCCTTCACAGTCAGGCTGTTATACATCAGAAGTGGGTTTCCTGAACCACAGTTGAACATAAAACACTACAGACCTGTTTCTGCTCAGACTCCACATTAATTCTCTTGACAACCAAATCTGGGCCCCTCGACGCTAATAAGCACCCGTGTAAAGAGAAATACTTCTTCTTACGGGTCACGGTGGCGACACCCACCCACAGCTTCTGGTCAGAGATCAAATCATGTTGACTTAAGCGATGACTTCAACTCGCTGAGCATGAAAACCGCCAGACGCGCTACCGGATGA